GTAACTAAACATTATAAACTACGACTAATAACTGTTAATTTTGTAACTATTTTTTCGTTCTATATTATTTAGATGATATTGTATATTTTTTACGTTTGGTATACATTTGCCCCCAATAAATTTTTCTTCTGGATCCGCCACTGTACACTATGATTCTCCACATCCATTGAGGTCTTAGCTCGCTCATACGCCAACACAAGATCCTCCTGAACCTTCTCTGCTACTAACAACATCCATTGAGTTCTCTCATCTTCTTCGCTCTCTCCAATACTCATATTTGCTAAACATAAACATAAACAAAACCACACTCAAAATAGCCATTTCGTTTTCAGCATCTAGATGAAAACACATAGCCAAAGTCCAGATTCTGCATGTAAAGACACTAAGAAACACGGTCTCTTTACCTTTTTGGACATTGTTGTTCATCAGTATCGAAGGCTTTACTCCATTTCTGCATTCGACATAATCCGAGGACAAGGGCACAAGATTAACAGATGGTGGAATCTCATCCTCAATTCCATTTGTACCAATAAGAAACCATTTGACTATGGAATCTCCTGAATAAACAATACGGTTGAGTTTATCACTGCTAAGTTGAGTTTCTTCTTGAATTTGGTAACAAGAGAATCTGGAACAGGGGAAGGTGTGTTCGGATCCTTCGAATTTCGCTTATGTGGAGGAATATAAGACATGACTAAACCTGAAACATGAAAGAAAACAGAGAAAACAAAAAGCTTGGCGGCGGATCTTCTCAATACGAGCAACATGGCTTGGTGATACCGATAAGATTGGCGGTACCTTCACAATGTATCTTTCCTTTTCCAAATCAAGACATAATTCATGGCTTGGTGCAACCTTAGACTTAATGTATTGTATGTAAGAAGTTGGGACATCAGTAGAGAACATCTTATTCGAATTTTTCCGCGAACATTCAGCCGAAGGACCAGCTTGATGTCTGGTTTTAAGTTGCATATTTTTAAAAATGTAAAAAAAGAGTTTTGTTTTTGTTCAACAAAATATTAAGATTAGATAGACGACACAAAAGGAAATGTCAAAAAAGATTATGAAGAGAAACATTCAAATTCAAAAATGTAATACACTAAAGAGTAAACGTGATGATTATTTCCTAAGCACAATGGAGACATTGTTATCTTGGGAAAGCATTGGAACCATCTCAACTAACTCCTCAAAACATCTCCTTTAAGAAGACCTCCCAACCTTACGACCATCCTCTCTAGTACTGTCTTTGTGTTTTTAACCATAAGTTCCATGAACCAAGCCACGTGCTTTGACTCTACATTCTCATGATCAATGTTCTCAAATACCCTCGCTTCCGAGCTCCAGCATTGATCCGGATTCAAGCCTTTCCAATCCAAGTAGTCGTCAATCTCCTTATTCTGGACAGAAAAGGTTTACGAATATGCAAACATATCTCAGATTCAATTGAAACGAGATGGTTCTTGGATTATTTAAAACTCGGAAATAGTTTGAATGGTCAAGAAAAATAACTGAGGCTTATGGCAAATATACCCGTGTGATGTCGTGGGAATCCGTTGTGGTGTGTAATGTTAGCTTCTTCAATTCATGTGAGTTTTGAAGCACCTTTACTATACTAGGAATGACATATTGAGATGTCATTGTCTCAAACGTCAAATCTTTGACCTTGAACATCGGAACAGGAACACGACAGAGCTCGGCAAGAGATAAAGCCTAACAAAGAAGAAAAGAAAAGAATCATTGATCAATGATCAATATCAACAGGTACTTCTTAGAGAGTTCATATAATTAACATAGACGATACAAAACATACCCTAAGAAAGTTTGCCCCAAAAGTAAGCTTCTCTACATTCTGCAACTTCTCTAACATCTTTTGAGCCATGACTTGAAGAGAATCAGCCTTTAGTTCTTCAAGTAAACAAGATTTTAGTTCTAGTCTAGCTTCGATTAAAGACGAGACATCAACTAAAGTACACTGTAACTCATAGTTTAAATCTTAGACAATGGATATGTGGTGCAATACTCTGCGTCAGGCTCGGATCCCATTCATTGTGATCTATGTCTAGTGTTCTCAGACTCAACGATTTGCTGAGATCAAGAACAATCAGTCCCCAACACGATTGCAATGTTAAACTTTCCAGAACCGAACAACCAGATAGAATCTTAGCAATGCATTCGTCAGAGAGAATGCAACGATATAATGACAGTTCCTTCAGAGATGTGAAAGACACTAAGCAACTTGGAATTG